CTCCTGGATGGCAAGAGCTTCGGCTATTTTTAAAAGTTGTATACGAAGAAATCTGGGTAGATTTGAACGAATCATATAAACAACCTTAAAATCAATTTGTGGATCTGTTGAATGGTTATAGTCAATTAGGTGTTCAAGAATAGAACTCCTAACTGCTTTCCTTTCACCCTTATAGAACCAGGCTGGAATATGTTCTCGTATCCGAGTTGAAAGCGAGCGCTGGCTACGGCCAATGTACCTTGCTCCACAAGAGCAGGTGAACGATTGTACAGCTTGATAATAAATTCGTTGAAAAGAGATCCCTTCGCTGAAATTCGTGTTTTAATTTTAATGTTTAAATGGGAATTATCTGTCAATTGAAGAAATGCAAGGACCTTATGACGATGAAAGGGCTCAATGAGTTCTTACGTTACACCGTCAAGCTTGCGTTAGTGAAATGTGAGATCAATTTTCTCGAAAGCTGTATCGAAAATAATGATTATCCTAAACGTTTCTGGAAGGCATTAAGGCGAAACCATATTCATCCCAATGCAAAAACACTCAAACGTCATGCACTTAATTATATCGATGCTATCAAATCTCGAAAAGTCGAACTAGATCGCAACATATCTCTAAGAAGTCACGCATTGTTTGAATTGTCGTTAGATGAACGTAAACAATTTGAGGACTATGTTACTAATGTTACAGAAAAACAGTCAGAAAAAGCTAAACGTAAACACTTGGAAACATTGCAACACGTAGACGTGACTAAAAAGTTTCCAGAACATCCAGAAAAGTATGTATTTAATCATTCTTCTATTAAACTTTCGCCAGTCCAAATGCAGGCCTTATCATTGGGTCCCAAGTTCTGTAACAGCACCTCCAAAACCAGTAGACTTCATACGCAAATACAATTCGAAAATCTATCAAATCAAACTCATGATCTTATGCCGACATCTCCACAAAATCTCCAGCACTTTAAGTCCACATTACTGGACTGCAGTCATGGATTCGTTAATGCACATTGTAGTAAGAATAACCTATTAACTAAGAACCACTTGGATCAGCTAATACTGTTGAAAAGAAATAAGGATTTAATCCTAAGTAAACCTGACAAAGGAGCTGGTGTAGTACTACTTGACCGCAAAGAATATTTGGATAAAATGAAGTTAATTCTAGAGGATGGTACTAAATTCTCCAAACCTAAAGAAGTTGATAAAACATTACAAATCGAAAAACAGCTAACAGATGTTGTTAAAAATCTTAAGAATAAGGGGATAATAACCCAAGATTTATATAATCACATGCGTCCCATGGGTTCAGTCATCCCGCGCTTATATGGACTACCGAAAATACATAAGCTGGGTTTACCGTTACGACCTATTTTGGACATGTCAAGTTCTCCATACCACAGAATCGCCAAATGGTTAGCGGAAAAATTGGAACCGGTTAGAAGGCAAGTATGTAAACATTCTATTCATGATACTTTTCAATTTATTGATCGTATTAAGGACGTTAATGCTTCCGAAAAACACATGTTCTCGCTTGACGTTAATTCTTTGTTCACTAGCGTACCTTTAACCGAAACAATATGTTATTTATGTGAGTATATTGATTCTAACAATATAGATCTAGGTTTGCCAACTGAAAATTTGAAAGAATTATTGTTACGCTGTACTTTTAATGTCCAGTTCAGTTTCAATAATGAAATATATAGACAAAGGGATGGGATCGCAATGGGGTCTCCATTGGGTCCAATTTTAGCAGACTGTTTCATGGCAAAAGTAGAAAACGACCAACTCCGTTCAATGATCAATCGATTCCACCTGTACGTGAGATACATGGACGACACGTTTGTTGTTTGTGACAATAATATGGATTTAGATGATATTCTACATACCTTTAACTCGTGCCACCCTTCCATAAACTTCACGTTAGAAAGAGAACAAGACCAATCAATTCCTTTTCTCGATGTACGTCTGATGAGAACGAGTAATGGTTCTTTAAAAAGATCCATCTTTAGAAAGCAAACATGGAATGGCCAGCTAACCAACTTCTATAGCTGGGTTCCGTTAAGTAGGAAGAGAAACCTTATCCATTCTTTATGCCATCGCATACATCACATATGCAGTACGGAATGCATTAACGAAGAACTCGCATTCCTGAAGAAGACTTTGACGGAAAATGGTTACCCAGAACGGTTCATAGAAAAGAATATGAATAAAAGTAGTCGCGAGAAGAATTCTAGTTGTTCCGTTCCAAAGAAAAACCTTTATATAAGTTTGGAATTTGAAGGTGACCGAACATCGGACGTAATCAAAAACCGTCTAACAACAACTATTAGGAGAACATTTAACGCGGCAAAACTGCGAATATCCTTCACTAGTAGAAACTTATTTTCTGTATCCATAAAAGATAAGCTTCCGCGTCTGGTCGCCTCTATGTGCATCTACCAGTTCACCTGCTCTTGTGGAGCAAGGTACATTGGCCGTAGCCAGCGCTCGCTTTCAACTCGGATACGAGAACATATTCCAGCCTGGTTCTATAAGGGTGAAAGGAAAGCAGTTAGGAGTTCTATTCTTGAACACCTAATTGACTATAACCATTCAACAGATCCACAAATTGATTTTAAGGTTGTTTATATGATTCGTTCAAATCTACCCAGATTTCTTCGTATACAACTTTTAAAAATAGCCGAAGCTCTTGCCATCCAGGAGCTTAAACCAGAACTATGCGTACAAAAGAAGTACGTCTTATCGTTATCGTTACCTTGGCCTTAATTAGTTTGATTATCCTACCATTAATGTTATTATTATTATTATTATTATTATTATTATTATTATTACTGTATTTCCCCTTTACTTATGTCTTATATTCTCATTGTTTTATTCATGAACTCTCATCATATCAGTTTATTTTTGTACACCTCTATGACCTTTAATTATTATATCAAAAACATTTTAATCATTTTAATCATCTTATTATATTCACCAAATCCATTGTTATTGTTATTATTCATATTACGTAATCTAGTATTATAACCTTTATATTAACTATATTCACATTTCCTCACGGAATTAGTACTTTTACAAAAACAAAATTTTCATATATATACGATTGTACAGCTTGATAATAAATTCGTTGAAAAGAGATCCCTTCGCTGAAATTCGTCTTTTTTCATGTTCAAGTGTAATAAAATCAAGTAATTGAACTTAAATTTGAAATCTATTAAAAATTGAGCCTTAAATGCCTGTTCATATTTTATTTGATACAATATTATTTCTTTGATTAATTTAGTATGAGTACAATCCATGATAGTGATTATTTTATCATAGAAAAACCTTCAGTCTCAAACGCGAACGCTTACACTCTAGACTCTGAGCAGGCATCTAACTTCATTCGATCCATGGTCTTGCGCAATCCTCCATCCATTTTCCTGGATTCGAGTCCCATGTGTAGCATCTTGGATACGCACTGCTGAGGATGAAACGGCCGTCCAATGCTTCCAGGTTTTCAGTGGTGGTCTAATACCAATCAACTGATGAATTCAACTATTAAAATTACTACAATCTCCACAAATCTCCATTTTGATAAAAATCAAAGGTGTTTATGCAAATAACTAAATAAGAGTGGATAAAATGATTAATTTTCAATGGTGCTTTTTTTTAATATCCAAATGGATATTTTTACGAGATTTTGTGTAGATAATTGAGTAAATATTCAACAGAACAAATCCTTTTGGATATTTCTCAACTAACATTGAAAAAGTTCAGGAAAATAGTAGGTTGTAAAACCATTGTAATGTCACTAATATAATGATGTTACTAAAACTTAACCAACATAAAAGAATGACATATCAAATGTTCAGTTTCCAAGTTAGTGGAAATTACTTAGAATTCAAATAGTAGAGAGAATACTATCAAAAATAACCACAAGTAAACTGATTACTGTAATGATGTCTAACAGAAAGTGAATTTTGTAATAAACATAGAAATGCTTTACTGAAACAAAACCAATGGGAAGTGTTCAGATTCATTTATAAGCAAATTATACTATTTTGAAGGATGGTATCTATCCACATCTTCAATAAATAATGTCTTTATTCATATTTAAATAGATAAATAAATAAAAAAAATTTAAATTTGAAAGCATCTAATTAACTTTTTTCTAAGAAGACAAAATGAATACCAGAAGGCTTTATATATACTTCAACATATCGTTAATGTTATTGACTTCCGGAGAAAATCACTTATAGAAGTAAACCCTAGTAATTATTTTCATTTTTTTCGCTAAAAGTATAAGAACATTTATAAAATATCTTTGGAATGGAAGTAAATAGAAAATAAAATGCGTATCAGATTTGATTATTTTGATTTGTTGCAGTATAATAATGTACTCTGTGAGTTAAGTGTATTTATGAATTCACTATTTATATCTTAATAATGATATGAAGTAGTTTTACTGTAAGAGAAGAAAAAAATTAGAGCATAAGAATAGAAGCAGCGCATATGCATAACTTATCATTATCAGTATAGGGGTTGTGGAGATTGTTAGGTTTTGACTGAGATCATGAACCGATTGATGTTGGACCACCATTGAAAACCTGGAAGAACTGGACAGCCGATTCGTCTTATTGTAGGACTCCTCAGCAGAGCGCATCCACAATCCCGCTCGCGGGATTCAAACCCAGGGCCTTCAGTCTTGCGCGCGAACGCTTATCCAACGAAATTAGATGAATTCATGCTATTTTATTAGAATCTTTGTTCTTGCTCCTTTCAAAATGATAAAGGGAACTATGTGTATGAAAAGGAAATTGGTTTTTTTATGAGCTTGATAATTCATTGTAGAGTACCACGAGTTGAATTTCATATAAGTATTTATAATTACAAACATTTTATGGTTTTTCAGTTAAATTCCTACTGAATTTTATCATGAAGTATTATTCTGTAAGATGTTTTAATTATCAACAGAAAAAATACTCTTAAAGCATTTAAGATTAAGAATAACAAGTAGTTACTTACCAATCTTGTATTTGATTCCATGCTTTCAAATAAACTCCATAAAAAACCAGGACCATAACGACCAACATGTTTTCCAATTTCAACATTGTGTAAACTTTGATTACAACTAGATAAAGTAGGTGTATGTGGTGGTGAACGTTTTAAAGACAATCGAGACATTCTTCTTGATAGAGTAGAATGAAAAGAAAACACGTGGTCTACAAAAAGAAAAATTAGGAATTATGAAATGTGACTAAAACAACAGTAATAATCTATTTGTTTTTATCTTAATATTATTTATATAAATGAATCATGTGTTTAGTTTATTAGTTTGGTGTGAAGTGCGTTTAATAACCAAGTGATTTAAAGTGGTAAATATTCAGAAAAAACTGCATTATAATTTATGTCTTGTCAAAAACAGATAGGAAGTAGTTATGTAGTGTATTTAATTTATGTTCATTTTAAGGCCATCTTGTATTATTTCAAGCAAAATGCTTGTTAATATAGTAATTGTCAACAATAAATTATGTGTGAGACTTTAAATTACATTTTGAATGGATTGAAACCACTAAAGTGAAGTACATTTTGATTATTCTGAAACTCGCTAGCTACATGTAATTGCACCACAACGTTGACGTTCATATCATGTCTTAAACTTAGTATCCACAGAAACAAACATTAGAGAGATAGCATTTCGATTTCTAGATTTCAATCTTTGATATTATTCAAGATTCAATTAACTTTGACAATTCATAAATCATGAAAATCATACATTAAGTACTTCATTTGTACATTTTCCATCAGTTGTCCTTTACATCATGATGCTACCAATTCTGTTTTTATTCCAATTCCTTTCTGTTCCCCTTTCGGGTATTTTCAGTTCAATCTTCTCAATCCTCTTCTGACAGCCACACCCCTTCTGATTGGTATTATATACTACTTACATCTGTCAACATAGCATACACCACAGTTTGACTACAACATAGTAATATAAATTTTAACATGTAGTTGAACTATCGAGCTAAACGATATGTGTTTAAATCTTAGAGACTCAAAAGATCTTTAAAACTGAATAGTCTTGCGGTTTTCGAAAAGATTTGTCATCAGAATATAAGTAATACATAAAGGTCCATACTCTTTTTCTAGCAGTCTGAATGCCATGTAGAAATATAAAGTCAGACAAATGGCTAGTAGCAAATTAAATCATATGCTTGAAGATACCACTGAACTATTATTAAAAAATAGGGATAAAAGGAATTAGCAATACTGGTTTAGCTAAAAATAGCAATTACCAAACGTGACGAATTTAAGAATATTTTATTGATTTGGCGAGCCAATCAGAGATAGCTTAATCAGAAAGTCAATCGATGGTAATCAGAAGTGACCTACAGGACAAGTGCATTTCACTGGCTAAATATTAGAATAATTTCACAAGGATTAGTGTGGTATATATACGAATGAATATTTGTGCGTTTTACTCGGTAGCCCAATACACTTTCTCGCTAACACTTGTGTTCTCGCTTAAGTAGTCAGTCGGGGGTTAGTGCGTAGCACACCGTGTATAAGTATCAGATTTCGGACACCGCCCTTCACAACAGTTATTCAGTCATATTAGACAGTTCTAAAATAGTAAACTATATCTTATCGAATAAGTATCGTTTAAAAGAAAATCAAATTTCCAGCTTTTTTTCATAGACAGACAAATTCCCTTGAGGAACAATAGAATGTATTAAAATGGAATAAATACAACTATGACAGCCTATATGTACTGAATTCCAATGTTATTCTCATAGTCGAAAGTAATTTTCTGTTGCGTGACCAGAAGTATTTATACGGAATAATACACTTTTTATTGTCATAAATCCTACTCAGTATTTTTTTCCCTTATCAAAATGTAACGTAAAACTCTGTTGGAAAAAAACCCCTTTGTTTGAAAAATGTTTAACATTACTATGAAGAATGAGTGAAGAACATTCCATTCAAACAACGTATTTTATTCATTTGTAAATACAAACCTGCTTATTTAGTTGATGTACGAAGACAGAGAGAGAGAAGAAAAAACAAACATGATTAAGGTTTAATTAAAGGTTTGAAAATTACAAATTTTAATTCGACAATGCATTTAAATAGGCTTAAAGATGAAAATACATAAGTTAATCGACCATTGAACAGTAACATATTTTCATCCTATTGGCCTCCCGATGATATTCCACTAATTATGTGATAGTAGTTCACTCAGATGCTCAAGTCCGTGAAAGTTATAAGGAAATTCTCTAGAAAATAAACATTGAAGCCGTGTTTATTACTTACTAACTTATATCGGTCTTTAATCTAACTATTAAGCAACCAATCTCACCTTATATCATTAATTAGCTAAATACGATTCATGCCAAGGTCGTTATTGCATATTTAATCGACGTCTATATGGCGGTTAAACGGTGGAAATAGACTATTCTATTCAATGAGATTTATATATACCCGCTGGTTGATCATTTTCTATGTGAACATCGTCGTTTCTGGTATTTATGTTAAAAAATAATCAACACTTCTTTTGGTGAAGGCAGTTTAATATACAGTAAGAGTCAAACTATCTAACAGTCTTGGATACCATCTTACGTAAGGTTATGGATAAGGACTAACGATCAATCTCAAACCGTGATTCAGATAAATAACAGCTCAAGAAAATAATGTATTTCATGTCATAGAAACTTTTACAAAGCCATAGTGAATGGTGCTTACTTGCAGCAGCGTAAATCATTCTACAAAATTAACAAGTGAATCTTAGCATTTAAAGCGAATAAATAATAAAAATTTATGGTGGTTGAATTTTCGAGCAAAATATCCATGATACACGTGATGTTGTTATATTTTATTTGAATTAATATATGACAGTTTACACCAGAAAGTTCTATTTGGGTTTCAAAATATTAATTTACAGAAATTGCTTAAAAGTTTTTGAATTCAGTGACGGTGAGTGAAATCTGAATTTTCTTGTTTGAGAACACGAGTCGATCAAAGCTAGACCACCATTGAGAATCTGGAAGCACTGTACCTTCATTTCGCCTCAGCGTGGGACTCCTCAGCAGTGAGCACATGTGATTCGAACCCAGGACCTCCCGTCTCGCGCTTGAATGCTTAACCTCTAGACCACTGAACCGGAATCCAAATAAGAATTTATTAAAAACTAACCATTGTCTGTTTTTAAACAATCGATTTTCATATTTGAATTCATGAGTCAATTGAAGATGGACCGCCGTGGAAAACGTGGAAACACTGGACGCCCGTTTCGTGCTAGTATGGTACTCCTCAGTAGTGCGTATCCTTGATCCCGCCCTGTAGGATTCGAACCCAGGACCTATCAGCCCCCAAAACAGCCCTCTTCTGATATTAGACTTTCAGTTTAAAAGTGTGTTTTGATAACAGTGAATGATTTTTTTGGGTAATTTGTAGCATACGTTTTCAATGAATGATTCCTAGTTGTATATTATGTTAGTGAAACACCTTTAACTTCACGAAAAACAGATTTTGCTGCCCAAAAAACAATTTTTCATAGAATCTGTACAAAGAATTCTGGATTGTCCTTGGCCAAAGAGTACAGATTCAGCGGTACACATTTCGATTTTTATTAATTTATCATCATAGTGTTGGTCATGTATAGTGTAGTCGGATAAATAGTACTTCAGAATAATGAAAGGACTAAAATGCTGAATACATTATTAAGTTGTAAAAGGTGTTAAACAATCGTTCTTCAAACAATTTTTCCAACTGAAGTTTAGAATACGTTTTGGCAAAGCTAAAAAGACAATTTATTTCGACGTGTATTAATCTGTTTGAATATGTTAGCTGATTTTCAGGAAGCCACTTTTTTTAAATGAAATCGTTCCAACCTATGATAAAATAATGACTTCTGTCTATATTACTATGGTCCCACATAGCTTATGAATAGTAAATTATTGAATATTCATTAATGAGTACCATTCAGTTAAACTAATTGAAAGTACCCAAGGGTAATTTTCCTACCTGCACTAGTAAACTAAGTAGTTTGTGCAAATGTTTTAATTTTAATTTGTCAACTTAATTAAAATGATTCATAATTCTAATTTGTTATTAATGAAACACGAATTATGATCAGTAATGCAGGATGTAAAACCAAGACTTGAACATTTTAACAAATAAAAGTGTGTTGCTGAACCGTTTGAGGATGAGGTTAATAATAAAGCCATAACAGTTTATCGTTTTGAGTTATCTTTTCAGTTTTTTCTAAGGAACCTTAAAGTAAACCTAATCCTGATTGACTTTCTGACCATAGTTCTCTGCAAAATAAATGTTAAAATAGTAAATTTCGTCAAAGATTTTTTAATAAAACTAATGTTGCGTAGCAATAAAGTCCTAATTAACCATCTAGTTTAAGTTGCCCAAAATCTAGACACCAATAAATATAAAGAAAATCCATACAATTTAGTATGTTGATACATATATTTCGAAATATTTCCATGATAGAGAAAAAACGTTTTATGTCAGAAGAATAGGAAACTCGACATCATATACAGTTATTGGGAAGTGATAGTATCTGTCAATAAGGAAACACATTTTTTGTCGCTTATCAATAGACGAGATGTTGATTTGTAAAGATCATATCGGTATTATTTCTTGAATTTTACTCTACTTGCAGGTTTATAAGAGATGCAGAAAATGAATGAATATTAAATTATTATAATAATTTTGATGTTTCTTCAAAATGAGAGTGTTTAGTTTTTAATTACTGAGTGAATCGGATTGTGATCACAGATTTATCAGATATATATATCTTAAGATTTCACTGCTTTGTGGTCCATGACTTAAGATTTTTTTGTAAATAAACTATCGATCATATGGAAATATGTTTTTCTTCAACATTGTTAAGTTTTAATGAATAAGAAAAGTAATGAGCTTATGCTTAAATTAACTCAGTATGCAGCATTACCATGATAAGTAAAGATTAATAGTTTAATATTGAGCCATAAGAGACTAACTCTTAAATTTGTAGTCATTATTTTTATTGTCGAAGCGTAATCAATGTCTATTTTTAAATAGTAATCCATTTGTGACCATAGAATACACTAATAGTTTCCTGAAATTTCCGGATTTACTAACCAAAATTGTCAATCATTTCTCGCCAATGAAGAAAATACGTTTGTAAAAATCAATAAATGCCTTGTTAATCGAGATTTCAGAGATT